TTTGGGGAATTATTAATCATAGAGCAAGAGGAATTATAGGAGAGTAAAACAATGTGCGTCATTGTTTCTTTAGAGAACATTCCTTATTTAGCACTTATGTTATTATAAAATGTTTAGGTTATAATGCATAGAATATTAATTCAATCATTTCTATTCACGTCAAAGTTTATTAGAATTAAGAAAGTTTATTTTCTTAATTTATTATTACCTTCATAGTGGTTAATTTGTTTATCCCAAAATATTATTTATCTTTGTGAGATATCGGTTTCATATTATTTAGTAGAAGCCACATTTACGCTGCGAGAACTCTAAAACATGAACAAAGAATTCAGAAGAATGATAGACCAAGCACTTGAATCAAAGTTGTCATTAAATGAACAAAAAGGTGGAAATCGACACGGCGGATTTCTGGACGAGGAAGAGGGTCGTAATAACTACCAACCTCGCAACCAAAGTAAAGAAAGAGGATTGTCGAAGCAATTCTGGCAGAAGTTGTTGCATGGTCAACCTATATTCTAAATCGTTGTCCTACAAAGAGTGTAAAGAATATGACACCACAAGAAGCATGGAGTGGTGAAAAGTAAACATTTTCGTGTATTTGGGCGCATAGCCTATGCTCAAATACACAAGGCAAAGAGAAAGAAGTTAGATGATCGAGGTAAAAAATGTATCTTCATTGGATAAATTCACCATCTAAAGCTTATAAGTTGTACAGTCCAATTAGTGGAAAGCTAATTGAGAGTAGAGACATAATCTTCAGCGAAAGAGGATCCTGGAAATGGGATAATCAAGAAATTGTGTTTGAAGACTATCATGATATTATAGAAAAGGGTTCCAAAAAAAATCAACCAAGGACTCTAACAAATACTAATGATTCACAAGCATCATCGCTATCAGCTAAAGGATCACATTCAACATCATAACACCTCTTAAAATGAGAATTCTCATAGACATATATGAAAGAAAAATGAAGTTAATGAAGTTGATTTATTCTACTTGACCACAAACCCATTAACTTTGAAGAAGCTTTAGGAGAAGAGGAATGGAGATCTGCTATGAAAGAGGTAATCCGGTCAACAGAGAAAAATGATACATGGGAGTTGGCTACATTGCCAAAGGGCCATTAGGCCATAGGTGTAAAATGGGTTTAGAAGCTAAAAAGAGGTGCAGATGGAAGCATTGAAAGATACAAGGCAAGACTTGTAGCAAAAGGATACAAGCAAAAGTCGTTTAGACACCGTAAGAACGATTGTCTCACTTGCCGCACATCATAAATGGAAGATATATCAACTTGATGTTAAGTCAGCATTTTTAAATGGAATTTTAGAAGAAGACGTTTATGTGGAACAACCAGAAGGTTTTGTCATCAAGGGAAAAGAAGATAGAGTGCTTCGTTTGAAAAAGACACTTTATGGTCTAAAGCAAGCCCCACGAGCTTAGAATACACGTATAGACGGATACTTGATCCAGAATGGTATCCATAAGAACATGCGATATATGTGAAGAAGAATGGTGATGATATTCTTATAATAAGTTTATATGTTGATGATCTATTATTCACTAGCAACATTCAAAGTATGTTTGATGATTTCAAAGTGGCAATGTTCAAATAATTTGAAATGACAACTATGGGCTAATGAACTTCGATAAAGCAATCTGAAGATGGAATTTTCATTTCGCAAAAGAAATATGCGAAAGAAATACTTGAAAAGTTTAAGATGGACTCATGCAAACCTATGAGCACTCCTATAACGACTAGAATAAAAATGACAAAATCTGGAGAAGAAAAATTGATTAATCCAACTTTATACAAAAGTATTGTTGGAAGCCTAAGATATTTAACCATACTAGGCCAGACATTGTATATGGAGTCAATTCAGTAGATATATGGAGACGCCAAAAGAATCACATCTCTGCAATGCAAAGAGAATAATTAGGTGTGTTAAAGGTACCTTAGATTATGGGATATTCTATTCCTTTGGGAATGAAGCAACATTATATGGTTAAGATAGCGATTCGGCTGGAGATCAAGATGAGCGGAAAAGTACAACTGGATATGTATTTTATCTAGGTTTAACTTCTTTTACCTGGACTTCTAAAAAACAGCCAGTGGTGGCACTATCAAGTTGTGAAGCTGAATACATAGCAGCTTCATCTGCAGTTTGTGAAGCGTTATGGTTCAGAAATCTCTTGAAAGAAATTGGTCATGTTCAAGAAGGACCAACTACAATATATGTAGACAATGTGTCAACAATAAAACTTGTTAAGAATCCAGTGCAACATGGAAGAAGTAAACATATTGATACTCGATTTCATTTCCTACAAGATCAAGTCAAGCAAGGAACAGTTGCGGATATTTTTACAAAGCCTCTATCTCTAGACACATTCAAAAGGTTAAGAGAGATACTCGAATGGAAATTAAAGTTTGAGGGGGTGTGTTGTAATTCACAAACTTCAATTATGGAAGATTTATTATTAGAATGTTGATTTTAGAATTTGTTAATTTAAGAGGCGGTTAAGAATTAGAACTAATGGCATCCTTTCATTGTTTAGAAAAAGGACATGTTATATATATATGTAGTTATTGTTTTTGTTAAAAAGTAAGCAGAAGAAGGAAAAAGAAAAGGAAGAATATTTAGTGATATTAAGGAGATATAAGAGGAAGTTTATATTTTGAAATTATATATATTCAGAAGAAGTTTATTTTATATTTTGGGTATATTTGTATTTCCTTTAGATATCCTTATTATTACTTGTGTTAGCAATTCGTAAATTGTTATAATTGCTACACTAGCACCACCATTACAATGCAAATTCCAACCATTGTAGTTATAAGAACACACAACTTGAAAGTTGAGGCTTATGGAGATTTCTTCGTGAATTTCAATGAATCTTGGTATTTATCTCATTCGGTTGGAAATGTAGGAAATAATTAGGAAAATTGGTTTAAAATAATACTAACTATTAACGGTGAGTGCGATATATTACAACCTTAATTATTTGCTATCAGCACTATAACCTTTTGTACTATAAGTGCAAAATGGTACGCCAACCACCGAAAAAGGCATCTTAAGGAAAGTTCCGCCCATATTCATTATTATATTATTTTTATTATAATTTTTTAATATTAAAGTTTTTTTTTCAACATACATTCTATGTCAATAATTTCCTCTTACCTAAATTAATAATGCCCTACCCTTTTGTTAGGCTAGTAAATTAATTTCTCTAAAAAAAAAAATTCTACTATTAAACAAAAGTAAATAAGGTATTTAAATGCATTATTATATTGATATAATTAGTTTTAAAAAATGTTTCAAAAACCAAAAATTAACATAATATTTCCTTTGTTTGTTATACTCGCAACACAAGTTTTGACATGCTTGAAAAAATGATTAGATTATGTAAGCAAACAAATTATGCTACAAGTGTTAATTGTAGCAACTTTACCAATTTCTTCTTTATTTTTTAATCATAACACTTTCTTCTTATTGGTGGTAAAATTTTATTAATTGATTTATCCGTTTATCCAGTCTAATATCTCTCATAAAGTGTGTGTCATGTCAAAATAATGTGTTATTGTAAATAAAAATGTAGGAATTACGTATTTTGGGGAAAAAAATTAATAACCAATACAAAAATAACATAATAATGAAGACAAAATATTCCTCCTGGCGTACCATTTTGCACATATATTACAAAAGGTGGTACTACTAAAAGCAAATAATTGAGGTCATATTATTTTGCACCCACCGATAATAGTTGAGATTATTTTAAACCAATTTTCCTAATAATTAACGTCACCTCCGCCAAAATCTTAATAGGCAACCTATAATTAGAAAGATAAAGTAAAAAATTTATAAACAATATTACCTCAACTCCAAGTAAATTATTATTAAAACTTAGTAATAGATTTACAAGAAGAATATGGGATAACTAATCGAAAGACTCAAAGAATTCCAAGCTTAAATTGGTGAGCAATTATCTCATCATGATCACTATAATGGGAAACTCATGTAATTAACAATGACATGGCCTGATAAAGCTAATAGAGTGTGCTCAGCAGTCTTTGCAGTTCACTTCCAATCAGCTAAAAGTGTTTTGTGGTCTCTCTCTAAATCACCTTATCAAGTCCTACTTGTTAGTCCAATGCTCAACTCAATGCTTTTTGTGGTAGTGATTGGGTTTGGGGTCCATTCATAAGAAATTCAGCCTCATCCTCCGGCTTTTGTATTTTTGCTTTGGAAGAAAAAGACAATCTATTGTCACTTTTATCTGATTCTAAGGAAAGGTTGTAGAAAATTCTAAGGCTAGTTGTCACACTTTCGGTGGTTGTAAGAGGTGTGACTAGATATCCTTGCAAAGGGGTTGCGTCTCTAATTCTCTATTTAAGGGTCTGATCGATTAATTGAAAACAATTGAACTGATTGGGGCTGAACTGAAGTGATCTAAATAGAGCTGAAATGAATTGTTTATGAGAGAAGGAAATTAGGAATTGAACTGATAGGAGCTAAACTGAAATGAAATGAAATTAAGCCGAACAAAACAGGCCCTAAATCCTTGTAATGCTCATTGATAAGCTAAGCTGAATGAATGTAAAAACATTTGGATTGAAGAAAAAGTCTACTTTGCTGTTTTGTTGGAATCCATGAGTATATACAGTCTACACAAATTAAATCCAAGAATCAAGATTACTAAAGAATGAGATAAATCTATGCGTTATACCTAGAAACAAAAAGTTTTAAATAAATAAATTTTGCAACTGTGATAAGCAACTCGTTGATACAAAGAAAACAAGATATATCTCATGCAATGTTAATTCACTAAACAATTGTAAGATATTGGGGATGATAATGCAATTCGCTACATAGTTTGTAAAATAGGCCAAAATGCACCATTTTCATGTATTAATTTGTCTATTTCTGTTAGCGGTTTGTAGGGGGCTACCAAATTGAGTAACATTATGTCATGATTAAAAGAATCAGATCTAAATGAATTTATACCTTACAACCACTGAAATTCAAATCGATTACGTGTTTGCAATTCCGAACTAGATACTGTGTGCCAACATCCGTTACCCTTGAACAAGCAATAAAATTATCAGACAGAACATAAATAGTATTCCAGATTAGTAACTTAAACTGTTAATGAATACATTAGATACATACCTAACATTCCAATATATTGAAAAGACTCTCATGCTTGGACATGCGCTAGTAATGGCTTCAACTCCTTGATCAGATATCTTCTGGCATCCATTTAAGTTCAGTATCTCTAAATTCTGAAGAGAGCTGGAGCACTGCCCAATCATGGAATTAAGTCACAACAGATAATGGCAAAGCAGAGCACATATGATGCAGTATTCAAATCCTTAAATTAAAAATTAATAAAAATAAGATAAAGCACAGAAATAACAACAATAATAACCTGGCCCTTGCCTTTTTTAGCTATACTTGGCACCACAATAAATAATCAAATTTACTAGTATAAATTTAGACAGATTCACTTCAAAACTGAGGCAGTGAGACCAACATATTAGCCATAGTACATGTGGTAATACTGGTAACTAGAGCTTTTGGTAGCTTTCAAGTATCATTTTACAGTTGAAACTAATGTTCAACTATTTCAAACAGCAGAAATGATTACACATTTATCATCTAACTAAAAAACTAACTAATTTTACCGACAAAAATAATTGCAACCCCAATGACTATTTCACTTGATATTCACTTATTTAAACTTACTATAAACTTATTAGAATTAATTTGAATATTAGAGATTATTGTAGTTGTATATTGAACTGAGTAAACACTTGTAAAAAGTAAAACTGATATGAGACGATTAGAACTTACTCCCTCCGTCCCCTTTTGATAGTCCCTTATGGACAAATTTTAATCCCAAAATGTTCACCCCATTTGTTTTTTCTAACAACCATTAATATTAAATTTTTACCAAAATTCCCTCTAATTTGCAACAATATTTGTGCAAATTTAACTTTCCCGTGTAAATTTGGTTTTCCCATGTATTTTTATTACTTTCTCTCTCTACTTTTTTGCATACCCAGTGTCAATTTACTTTTTCAATGTACTTTAACTATTCTTATTTGTGTTTATTAATTCCCGTGAAAAATTCCCATAAGGGACTATAAAAAGGGGATGAAGGGAGTATCTAATTTGTCTTTCCAAAACTTCTAATTTTTTTAGGTGAAGACAGTATAGCCTTAAAGTACTAATCAAAATATGAGTATTAGCAACTAGGTTGCAATTCACTATTACCTAAGGAATATTGCTAAACTAAAAATTATGACAAAAATATACTCTTAAATCTTAAAAATTCCTTGAGTAAAAGTTTCCTTACACTTTTACATTCTTAATCAGTAAAGAGGATCCAGGCATGCCAAAGAATATGAATGATTTAGTTACAGATTCCTAGTCCCACCATGCTATGCAACATAAGATCAACTTAAAGCTATATACATTTAATAACTAATTTCAAAATAGTCCTTCAGAATTTCAGATTCACTACATAATAAGAGCTACAAACATGTCCACAATTACTTGGTATTGGCCGCAGTATAATCTTACAAGGGTAACCATCCATGTTAGAAAATAATCATCCTGTATTGGTTGAAAAAAGTGTTGTCATAACATCTCCGTAAACTGAAATATAATACAACTAACCATCTTCCTTCCCCCCTTAGGTGTTTTAAGCTTTTAAAAAGTTTGTTATGAATAGTCTTTTGCATTAAAATACAAGATGGAAAGCACTCAAGTAATTTAAAAGGGTTAACAAACCTACCGACTTCTAAACAATATCAAATAATACATGGACCTCTTAGATTCAGCTCTCACCTTATTTTTGAGGAGTTCCAGATACTTGTCTTCAAGATCTTGTGCAAATTCAAGGTTTATTTGCTTCACATCCTTATACCTAGGCTGTAACAATTGATTTCAGCATCAGCAAATCAATTTTCCAACTTCAAAACAGAATTCCGGTAACACAAACAGTACTCAAATTTGTAATTGTCTAAGATCATAAAAGATAGCATACAGCGCATCAAATTGAGTGAAAAATTGAGCTGAAATCACGCAAAATTGATCAAATTAACTAACCAGAGAAAGGGCAGCAAATATCACGTGACAATCAAACTCAATAACACGCAACAATACTCAAATTTGCAGTTCTTAAATTAATACAAATTCACAATCATAGCAATCAAATTGAATGCAGAATTGAACTTAAATCACGGAAAATCGAGCAAATGTAATAATCAGAGAAAGAGCAGGTAAAATCACACTCAATAACACACGAAAATTCTCAACTTTGCAATTTTAAATTCATACAAATTCAAACATAACAATTGAATCAAATGTACAACTGAACTGCAAATTGCAGAAACTCAAACAAATACTTGAAAAAAAAAAAAGAGCAGCTTCACACTCATCAACAAACAACAATGCTCAAATTTACAGTTCTTAAATTCAAACAAAATCACAATAATAGTAATCAATATCTTAATGTAATTTGAACTGAATTTGCGCAAAATCGAGCAATCAAACTAACCAGAGAAAGAGCAGCTACGAGCCGATTCCCAGCATTGTTCATCTCATGAAAATCAAGAACCTGCAGAAGTAATTCAATCACATAAACAACGAAATTCACTGCAAATTCATCAAAAACAACTCCTCGATTGATAAAATATTATAGGCAAGGATTACCTTCCAGAGAGAAGGATTAGAGGCGAGAGTGCGATAAAGCCAAGGGCTAACGAGTAAGAGAGAGACAAGGTCGCGCTGAGGAAGCTTGGAGCTGACAATGGTGAAAACCCTTGGTACAGTCTCTTTCCTCCATTGAAGCTGAGGAAGCTCTTTTGGTGATTCTTCTTCTCCGCCATTGAAGTTGTGCTCCATTTCTATTTTTGTTTGGAAAAAGGGTTGGAGCTTATTTGGGTCGACTTTTTTTATAGGTTACCACTGAAAATCGGGGTGTTATGAAAGAAAATGAGGGTGTTTCATTACCCTGGGTTCACTTAAGTAAAATACTACTAAGGGGCGTTTGGTTCAAACAATAGTATGGGTTTAGAATGAGGAATGAAACATGGGTGGTATGGGGTTGGAACTTGATATTTGATTTCATATGTTTAGTTTTTATCTAGAAATGATAGTTTTTCTTTAATTTTAAACCTAAAGATATGGGTATGAGCTAGGGCTGAGCAAAACTACCCGAAAAACCGAAAACCCGAAAAACGATCCGTAACCGTTCTGAAAATTAGGGTACCCGATCCGATAACCGTAACGGTTCGGGTACCCGTTCCGATAATTTGTTATCGTGTATGGTAATTGGGTATCATTTTAAAATTAACGGTTACCCGATCCGTTCCGATAAGCATTTTTCCCTACTTAAATCTATTTTTTTTAAATCTAAACTCTAACTTTACTTCATAATTACTTTATAATATCAATGATTAGTAATATTATTAATAATTTTGTCAAAATCATATGATATTGTTGTTAATTAGTGGTAAATTATATCATAATAAGTACATAATTAAGTTTAATTATCATTATTGGAAATCTCATTGGGTACCCGATAACCGATCCGAAAATCCGGGTACCCGAACTTATCGATTCGGGTTATGGATATCACTTTTAGGGATTTTGGTTATTAGGTACCCGAACCGTTAGTACTAACGGTACGAGTACCCGTCCCATGCTCACCCCTAGTATGAGCCATACCCACCTCCCCCCTTGGGTTTCAAAAACCCATACTTTGGGGGTTTGAGGTATGGGTTTGAAAAATGAAAATTCTGAAAACAAACACAAGGTATGGGTTTTGGTCATTCTAAACCCATACCTTATACGTAATATGCTTGAACCAAACACCCCCTAATTAGGTTAGATCCCGTATCATACACGATTTTTCACTTTTTGTTACAAAGTATCAATTAAAATTATATTTAAATATAAAAAATCATTTGATATAAAATCATTTTTTTATATTATCCCAAATCAAGATAGCAAGTTAAAATATTCAATATGGACCGTGGTTGCGTACATCACCAAGGAAAAGAGTAAGGGTGGACCTAGCCAAAAGAGAATATGAGAAATCTTGGATGGAACGCCTTAGACAATCATCAAAGTCGAAGAAAGCTCCTACATATAATGACCCTGACGTGATTAAACCGGGACCAATTGGGGCTGCAAGAAAACTGATTTTTGCATCTCCACAGGGTAGCACCAAAGGGGACGTGAAGGGAACTACAAAGAGCAGAGAAGTCGAGCTTGTAGCTGTAAAAGATGATAGTGGAATGAAGGTGGTGTTGCGGACTGCAGGGGTGATTAGATGTGAGGAAAGGTGTGAAAAGGAAAAGATTTTGAGTGAAGGGGAATTAAGGGGGGTAGATGACATAAAAAATAATGAAATAGCAGGAGGTGAGAGTGATAAAAAATAAATACAGGGGAGGGGAATGTAAAAGAAATAATTGAGGGAGAAAATGAAGAGGTGGAAAAAGAAGGTCTTATTGTGGAGTTGGGAGGTTTTGCTGAAAATATGAAAGAGGCAAATCACAATGTCACTCTGGACAGAAAGCTAAGAAAAGTAAAGATTTTGAGGGGGATGGCAATAAACTAGAGGGAGAAAAACAATTAGCAGGGAGTAAAAGGTCTATGTGTGATGAGGATTAGGGGTGTACATAAACAGGACCGGACCTGAAAACCGACCTGATCCGGACCTGTTGGGACCGGACCTGACCCGGACCTGTAGATTCAGGTCCGGTCCCGGTCCTTAAAATTCAAGGTTCCCGGTCCCGGTCCGGATCAGGTCCAACCCGGGGTTTTCAGGTCTGGACCTGAAACCCGGTAAAAATGTATTTTTTTTTAAAAAAACTTTTTTTTCCCAAATATCAAACCAAGAAGTCAGTTCATTTTTAACCCTAATTTAATCACTCATTCCCTAACCCACTCAGCCGACACAAGTCACACAACACACTTACAAACCCACTCCCTCACGCTGCACACTCCTCTAGCGACCACTGGATCGCGCGACTCTAGCAACCCCAGCCACTAGAACGTGCGACTCTAGCAACCGCAACCACCACATTGCGCGACTCCAGCAACCACAGCCACCAAAACACGCGACTCTAGCGACCGCAGCCACCAGATCACGCGACTCCATCGACTGTAACCACCAGAACGCGCGACACTAGAGGCCGCAACCACCAGATCGCGCGATTCCAGCGAACGCAGCCACCAGATCGCGCGACTCCGGCGACCGCATCCACCAGATCGCGCGACTCCAGCGACTGCAGCCACCCAATCATACACCAATCGGTGTCTTACTCGCTTCACGATCTACCCCGACCTTCCTTTGCGACCATCTACTTTGAAGGTGGTAGGTCTGGTGGTTGTTGTTGTCTAGTATTTTTGGTGTTTGGGAATTGAGACTTTAGTCAATTTATACAATTTATGTAGTATTCATGATTGATAATATCAGATTTTATGTTATTATTTATTTTATTTTTTAAATAAAAAATCAAAAAATAAATAAAAAAACAGGTCTATTCAGGTCCGAACCCGGACCGGACCTGATTTTTCAGGTCTAACCCGGAACCGGACCTGTTGAATCAGGTCCGGTCTCCGGTCCTCAAAATTCCCTGATTCAGGTCCCGGTCCCAACAGGTCCGGTCTGGTTTTGGACCGGTGTACAGCCCTAATGAGGATAGCTATGATGATGAGATGATAGTTGATGAGGAAAGTCAGGAAGATCAAAATAAAAAAACGCAAAGTTGCTGCTCTTATCTTGAATGTGACGGGCCCCACTCCATGGGCTCTCGGTGGCCAATGATTTACAACCTCGGTTGGAATTGTAGAGGTTTGGGGAGTACCTCCGCGGTTAATGCGTTAAAAAATGTTGTGATTCTTGAAAACCCCCAAATGATTTTCCTGTCGGAGACAAAATTGAAGTGCCATGAGCTGGAGAAAATAAAACAAAAGCTTAAGTTTAGCAACATGCTGGGTTTTAGTCATGTAGGGGAGGGAAGGAAGAGAAGTAGAGGTTTAGCTTTAATGTGGAGGGATTATTTTGATGTTAAGTTGAAATCTTTCTCTTTAAATCACATTGATGTATGGGTGAAGGAGGGGAGAGAGGAAGGATGGAGATTCACGGGGAGGTACGGACACCCGGAAGAGGAAAATAACAAAAAACTAGAGTGTTATTGAGACTCTACAAAGAAACTCTAAGGGCCCTTGGATTTTTGGAGGGGACCTAAATCTGATGCTTACATCGAATGAGAAGAAAGGTGAAACAGAATTTAATATTGGAGAGGCTGACATTTTGAGAAGAGCAATTAGCACTTGTGATCATGAGGACTTGGTTTATGTTGTCCACGATTTCACGTGGACAAATAATAGGGGCGGTGATTAAAATGTCCAAGAATGACTAGATTGTTTTTTGGCAAATAGAGAATGGAAGGAGAGGTTCTCTGGAGCGTTTGTGTCCCATCTTTCAAAGCGAAAGTCCGATCATCTCCCTATTCTTTTGTGTATTAATGAAGGCGTGGGAAAATGAAAAAAAGAAAACGGTACAAATTTGAGGAAATGTGGCTTAGAGATGAAACATGTGGAGATATATATAGTTGCGAATGCGTGGGATGGGGGTGGCGATTTATGCTCGAAAATTGCTCATACCTCTTTTAAATCTGAGTGCTTGGAGCCGTAATAAATTTGGAGACTTTGTGAAAGAAATGCAAGATTGTAGAGCTCAAATGGAGTCTTTGATGAGTGAGCAACAAAATGATGAAATTATAGCGCAAATGAGATCTCCAGATGATAGAATGGATGAGTTGAAGAATAGAGAGGACTTGTATTGGAGGCAACGTAGTAGACAAGATTGGCTTCGAAATGGGGATAAGAACACTTCTTTTTTCCATCAAAAGGCTAGTCAAAGGAAGGCTCGAAATCACATATGAGAAATTAAAGATGCCACAGGGAATGTTTACACAGAGGAAGAGCAGATTTCTGAGGTGTTTGTCAAGCATTTTGATGACTTGTTTTCGTCGGGTGGCCAAATAGAAGCTGATTGTGTAGTAGACAAGGTAGATACGAAGGTTTCGGACACCCAATATTTTGATATGGCAGCACCTTTTACAGGAATTGAAGTCCGTGATGCTTTATTTCAAATGCATCCAACAAAAGCCACGGGCCCTGATGGTATGTCTGCTATTTTTTTCCAGAAATTTTGGCATGTCGTTGGTCTTGATGTGATTAATCATACTTTTAACATTCTGAATAATGTAGGGGATATAGGTGATTTTAATCAGACTCATATTGTTTTTATTCCGAAAAATAAAAGAGTGTGTGTCTCTTGTTGATTATAGACCTATTAGTCTATGTAATGTCTTGTATAAAATAGTCTCAAAAGTGTTAGCAAACAGACTTAAAAGTTTTACCCACTATTATTAGTGAGTCTCAGAGTGGTTTTGTTCCGGGTAGATTAATCACAAGTAACATATTGGTTGCTTATGAATGCTTTCATTATCTGCGGAAAAAGAAGACTGGAAAGAAAGGTTTTTTGGTTTTGAAACTTGACATGAGCAACGCATACGACATAGTTGAATGGGATTTTCTGGAAAAAATGATGAAAAAATTTGGCTTTCCGGAGACAATTGTGAAAAATATTATGAATTGTGTGTCATCGGCCTCTTTTGATGTGTTGGTGAATGGACAACCGTTTCGGAAATTTAGGCCTTCTAGGGGCTCCGGCAGGGTGATCCCCTATCCCCGTTCCTCTTTATTATGTGTGATGAGGGTTTATCAGCTCTCCTTCGTGATGCAGAGAAGAAAAAACTCATACATGGTTTTAAAATTGGGAGACATGTCGAGCCAATTTCTCACCTATTTTTTGCAGATGATAGTCTTCTGTTTGTTCGAGAAAATGAGGATGAAACGGAAAATTTCCTTGAAATTCTTTCTACTTATGAGATGGCGTCGGGCTAGAAACTGAATATGGAGAAATCAGAAGTGTCTTTTAGACGAAATATAGACCATGAAAAGAAATTATGCTTCAGATGAAGTTATCTTTTAAGGCTTTCGAGGGACGTGAAAAGTATTTGGGGCTTCCAACGTACATTGGAGGTTCTAAAAAAGTTGTTTTTCAGAATATTTGGGATCGGGTTTGGAAGAAACTCAATGATTGGAAGAAAAATTTTCTATCACAAGCAAGTCGTGAAACCCTTATTAAGTCGGTTGCCCAAGCAATGCCTACTTATGCAATCAATGTTTTTCTATCCCCGTGAGTATCCTAAATGTGGTGGAAAAAATGTGTAGAAATTTCTTTTGGGGTCAAAAGGGGGAGGAAAGGAGGACTTGTTGGTTGGCGTGGAATAAGATGTGTCGTGCAAAGAATCAAGGAGGTTTGGGCTTCCTCAATA